CGGTATGTGTTCGCTCACCTCCCGATCTACTGAGCCGACCTGTGACAGTCTCATTGTCACAGGTCGGCTAGAACTATGAGGTGAGTGAAAAGCACTCACCTCATAGTTCTCCTTTAACTCCTGAGTTAAATGAGCACTGTGAATAGGGTCTCTGGTTAGGGATGGTGTATACATACATTTTATGTCAAAGTATGTGGATGCCCCTCCAAAATATGGAGTTCAGCTGTTTCCAGTGAAGGGTACTGCTAACGATACAACACATACATAGACGATTTTGTGCATTCAGCCTTTTGACAAAGAAAGAGGAAAATACTATTCTCTTCCAGCATGACGGTGCCCCTGTGACCAGCTCCATAGAGACATGGTTTGATGAGTGTGGAGGAACTCAAGTGGCCTACACAAAGCTCTAACCTCCACTCTTCTGAGCATCATTGGGATGAATTGGAATGCTGATTTATGTGCCAGATCTTGTCATCCAATATTAGTACTTGAGCTCACAAATGCTGTTTTTGCTGAATGAGCACACATTCCCTCAGACACACTTCTTAATCTTGTAGAAAGCCATCCCAGAAGTATGGAGGCTGGTATAGCTGCATAGAAGGTACAACTCCATATTGATGACCATGGTTTTGGAATAAGATCCAACTGGCTCATATGGGTCAGTTGGCTTTATAGTGTGTTGGATCAGACAGCAGGCACAAATGTTTAAAACGATGGGTTGTAGCTAAAGTGCTGGTCTGAAGAAACAAAGGTGTGTGTCGTATATCTATCGCTTAATGTTCCTATTAGTTGTTACTACGTCAAGCCTTGCACTGCCAGTAGAGGGCGACAGAACACAAAATAAAACATTATTTAGTCTCCCCTTTAGATTGGCAATCTCAGTCAGTTGCATTTAGAACAGGGATGTCCAAACTCCGGGCCTCCAGCTGTGGTGGAACTACAAATCCCATGAAGCATCTCTCTCTGGGAGTCGTGGCTGTTAGAATCTTGCAAAGCCTCATGGGATTCGTAGTTCCACCACAGCTGGAGGGCCGCAGTTTGGGCATCCCTGATTTAGAAGGACACAGACAGCAAGGAAATTAACTGAAGGGCTTTGAACCCTTCCTTACGCGAAAACTAAAACAA